ACATAGCATAGGTGGGAATAGCTTGAAGCACAGACTTCAACAATATCTCTTTCCCTGCCTGAGACAAAAACTTGTTCTTCCAAGTAGAAATTCGCTTCCACACTCTATCTTTAATGTAGTTCAAAACTTCCCTTTTATTACGACCAATGGCTGAGGGTAAACCCAAGTACCGACCCAAATCATTACTTTCTTGAACACCAAGTGTAGAACATATAGCACCCCGAATAGCTCTTTCGGTATTAGGACTAAAGCAAATGACAGATTTGGTGAAGTTAATTACCTGGCCCGAAGCACTCGCATATTCTTGTAAGAGCTGCTGAATCTTCCGAGCCTCACTCATAGTGGCATTAAAAAAGAGAAGGCTATCATCAGCAAAGAAGAGATGACTAATAGGGGGGGCATCACGGGCCACTTTACATCCTGTAATAGTACCCCTATTCACCTCGTACTGAATCAGTCGTGACAAACCTTCTGCTCCAATAATAAAAAGATAAGGAGATATGGGGTCTCCCTGTCGAATGCCCCGACTAGGTATAATAGGCCCAATACTCTTGTCCCGGTATCGAATCGTATAAGTAACTGTTATGACACAACTCATCAAAAGGGAAACCATATGCCTATCAAATCCTATTGCTCGCAAGATACCTTCAAGGTAAGTCCACTCCATGCGGTCATAGGCTTTACTAATATCAATCTTTAAAGCTGCCAGACCCACCCTTCCTTTACTAATATTAATCCTTAACTTATACTCCCTCCGTTTCTTAAAACTCTTCTTCTTTCATTTTTTTTGTTTTTCTTAAAACACTTCCCTTTTGTATTAAAAAACCACTATTACCCCTACTTTTTCATACCCTACCTATCACATCATATTTTTTCACTAACAACTAAACTATCACATCTTACTTTTACCCATCACATCAAGGGCAAAATTGGAAAGTCAACTACAATTTAACACTTCCTTATTTTTCTCCAAAGTCAAAAGAGGAACTGTTTTGAGAAATGGAGGTAGTATATCACATTTTAATCTACTAATCAAATCTTACTTTTACCCACTCAAGTATATTCTTGAAAATTCAAGACAAAAATAGACTTCTCTTAAATCTCGTAAAAATCAAAACTTCTCGTATTTAGAGAGAGAGAGTAAAATAATTACCGAGTTAGAGCTTGAAGAAGTGCTGTGAAGAACTTGCTGGTGTTGGTGTGGCTGCAGCGGTGGTGGCGGCTCAAATAAAAGCGCCTCCGGATATTGATCGAACAAGATGGCGGCACAACCAGTTGTTGGAGCGCTGACAACGCCAATAGTGGTGTCAGTGACCACATCGACGTTGGTGGGGTCAACTGTGGTGGCAACGCCGGTGAGGTGCATGGGGCGGCCGTGCTCGTCGGTGAGGGTCACGGGGTTGCCGCGCTCGTCGGTGAGCTGAAGCTGATTCCCGCGCTCGTCGTATAGATGCGCCATTGTAAATTTGTATTATTTGGTATAGTTGGAATTATTATTTGGCCAAGAAGGGTTGGTTATTTATAGTTTTATACACTTATTTATGTGCCCCTTTGATATTATTTAATTATTATTATTATTATTATTATTATTATTAATTTATTATTATTATTATTATTAATTTATTTTTATGATAATAATAACTTTCTTTGCATGTGCGACATGGAGCGAGTAGATAAGCACCATATATGATCATTACACGTCGCATTTGGGAAAAGCCATGGCTTGCCACGACAGATCGATACATATGCAAAAGCAGACACCTGGATTATTTATCTAATCGTAGTATAACTTTAAAAAAAGAGGATAAATGATTGAAAATAATAATATAATCGATGAAAGAAAAATTAATTTTTTTTTAAAATATTTAATGCTCCACTCACATTTTTCCGGGGTATAACTTTTCAGTTATGTACCAAAAAATTTACATTTAAGTTTAAATTTTTTTGAAACACGTACATATATCTTTAATTTTTAAATAATGTCCAAAAAACGTTATTGCCCACCTCTAGTTTTAGTATTCACTCTATATCATAAAAAGACAACATATTTTCTTTTTCATTCGTCATAAAAAAAAAGTTTCATTTTCTACTTCTAGATAAGTTTTTGTGATTTATAAAATTTCTTTTCCTCTACAGTCTACACCACTTTCATGTTTCAATCGTTCAATTTTGGTTTTCTCAATCTCCGATTCTCTCCGTTCTAAAATGATCTTCTCAGTCACTATTCACATAGTTAAATTTTAATCACTTTCTTTAGCTATTTTCATTAGTTATTTTATATAATAAGATAATCATGTCATCTCTTGTCTTGTATAACTTGATATAATTTTAAAATATATATTTTTAATTTTTAAATTTTATACCTATAACCAAATAAATTGAATTGAAAATAATTTCATTTAAACCTCATAAACCGAACTGAGAAAAGCAATGGCATCGTTTGATGTTCGGAACCGGTAAAACAAAAAAATATAATACTCTTATACAAAGAAAGGTGAAGCATTACAAATTAGCTTAAACTTTTGTATAAAAAGTGAATCCGAATTTTATATGGATAAGTATTCAAATCTCGCCCAATACTTCCCCAATTTACACGGCCCATCGGAATTTTAACATTTGAGTCACATAGAAAGTGCCAAAGTGGTACACAAGATTTTGATCGATTAGACCACAGTAGAAAGATGGATGATACCGGTCACAGAATGAAAAAAGGGGTGCTTGGAAGAAATGGGGCTTCTCAACAAAATGAAAATCAGTTGAGAGGAATCATGCATGCAAATACATAGGCAAGAAATCCCATAAAAGATCAAAATTACAAAGGTGCAGTCCCATTTCCAATTCTTCATTGCAAATTATACAGACACAAACAAACATATATATAGACCACACACATACACATATAGACCACAGCTACATCGCGAAAAAAACAATGAATCACCACCAATAGTACGTGCGCATGCATACAAAACAATATATGAACCATTTAAACAGCTATGTGCACCAAGCTCGCATGTGCCATTAGCCCACAACCAAATATTAACACAATATGAATTGAAAGAAGATTACCCTAGCTCACTTTGTAGATGATGAGCCACCTCGGCTATCTAGGACGACTTTGGTGCTTTCATGGCGCAAGCTGCTTTCTCTTGAATAATTTGCCTTTGCACCCTGAGGAATACATAGTAAGCCAAATAATTACTACAACTCGAGGAGAATATGACGAATTATAACTTTGTGCAAAAGAAATACAAGTGATATTTGCAAGGAAGATCAATCGCACTCACTTGAAAAATTGTTCCCAACTTCTTCATTGCCTTGGCGCGCATCTTGAGAACATCCTTTGTAGCACTCGAATCTCTAAGGACCTGGTCGAAGGTTTTAAGAAGGAAACAAAATTTTTTTCAGCAATATGGCTCAAATTTCTGTGAAAAGGCGGCATCTTTAATCAGCCCAATTTTAAAAAGCTTGCTCATGAAATGCCAAATCAGGAAAGTAAAAAGGAAATATGTGCGTACTGCTTGACAAACGTGGGACAAGGTAGTTTCAATATCAACAACATTAATCTGCCAGAGGGAATTAAGCATCACATCTTTCTTCTCCTCCAGAGCCTTGATCACACTTTCTTCATTACTCTCTCCCTCAGCCGACCTCTTCATCTCCTCTTGTATTTGAAGCAAAGAGATGGCACCTGTAAATTTTTAGTGTAGGCAACGAAAGAAAATATGTTATTCGTCACAGTACTTTGCGCTTTGACATGGTTTTGCAAATCATTAATTAGCTATTCTCACCTGAAGCAGCACCAACTTGGGACTTTATGCGGTGGCCTTTATCTCGTACCCATTCAGCTAAAAACGGCATCTTCATGAAACGTATGTCCTTCCCTATTTCTTTAGCAGCTTGCCTTGTGTAGATATAACCAATAGTATGAAGCATAGCCTCCCCAAACGCTGGAACAGGAGAAATGTAAGTGCTCCTATACATATAGTAACAGTCATACTGATATATGAGAATGAACCGGACAAACTTGAAACAGGGAGGCAGTTGAAGCTGAGTAGAGTACTGCAGTGTGCCTGTTTTGATTTTTAATGAAGGCAAAAGTGCCTTTTCGCCTTTAAAAATTCACTTATCAATAACAAAATGATAGTTTTTCTTTTTTTGTTCTTGAGGAAACACTTGTGGGAAAAGAAACAAAATTTCCATATATAGCTCAGTTTTGAGCTTCTTAAAAGTAAAGGAAGAAAAAAAACTCTTTTTTAATCATAATGTGAAGCTTTTTTCAAACCGACAGCTTTTAGGAGTAATTAACAACCAATAAACCAAACCAATGTTTTTCTTGGTAAAAGCCCAAGAAGCATCATACAAAACTATATGGTAATTAAAATTCTAATGAGCTGTTTTCAATTTCAAATATGATGAAGTTTGGCCGTCCTAAAATCTACTTCCTGTTGTATAAAATAGAAATGAAGAAAGAATCCTTCTTGATATCTTTTGACTTTTATATTAGAAATGAAACTAATATCTACGAACAAAAAAAATCTAGAACCCAACAAGCCATGATCTGGTTAACTTTACATCAGAAATATGAATTTCCCAGAATTTAGAAATAGTTTAGGGTGGAGAGAGGACACTTGAGTATGGGTGAAATGAAATCTCTTAGTGAGAAGGCATGAGTTTAATCAATCTAAATGATCATGGTCAAAGGCATAACTAACCTAAAAACTTATTTTGACCATGCTTTAGGCTTTGGGCAAAGCAAATAGTTTTCTTCTGTGGAAGGTAATACAATGTAACTAGATTAAAACAGCACTCACAGAGCAAAAGTAGAAAATTAACATTGGAACATATCCTGACCAAGTTGGTGGGTTGGCCAGTACTTGTAAGTTAACTGCTAATCAATGGATCAAAATCAAATTAATTTTCAAAGTTTCAAAACACTCCAACAATCTAAGGTTCTTTAAACTGCAGAGCGATTACTTTAGACAACAAAAATCACTTGGGAACCATGTTCAGGTTATGCATTATAGAGAACATAGGTGTCGGAATACCAGCTTCTGAAAGACGGCTTGCTTCTGATTTGGCCCAACTTAAAAATTCGTCGACACGACCTTCGACATATGGTTGAAGATGATTCTTCAAGTTTGCTACAAGCTTCTCTTCTCTTTCCTTCTGTAAAGCCTGTACCACAAGAGCGTTGAGAGTATCATTAAGTGTACATAACGAGTAATGTAGCCTTCCATGGATTAAAGCTGAAGTAGTTCGCACCTTTAATTTTTCCTGAACATTCTTATTACGATTCTCAGGAGTAGTAGATTCCTCTTCAACTTCAACAACTGACAAAGAAGCCAATAAAAGTTGCCCTACATAATCTTCAAAGATATCACTCCCAAATAGCATTCCAAAAACTGCTGCAGGGTCGACCATTGTTTCCCTAATAAGAGTACCCAAAAAAATAAAAATAAAAAATCAGTCCACGACGAATTTGCGGCTGACACACAAAGATACCCGTAAGCTCCATATGTTTCATCACTTTCATGAAAAATTACTTATCGTAGAAAAAGCTTTCAGTGAATAATGTTTTCGTGGAAAATGCTTTCTGTGAAAATTATGTTGTTCTATTAGTGCTTTAATGTTTGACTGGGATTTTTTGTGGAAAATGTTTTCCTGAGCCAAACACAAGAAAAATAAAAAAAATCAGAAAACATTTTCCATCTAAATATTTTTCCTAAAAAAGAAACGAAGACTTAGTACACTCCTATAGTACTTACTGCTGAACACCCTCTTTCCCATATTTGTCATAGGTTTCACGCTTGTTTGGATCACTCAGGACCTGATATGCCTCTCCAAGCACCTTAAATAATGAAAAGACCGCAGTGGAAGTAAATGTAAAATATCTTACAAATATACTGAGGAAGTGCCCACTCACGGGTTTGAAAAGAAATAACAAAGAAGTGCAGTGAGTATGAAATCTCAGTACACTGAATGCCACATGAAGCCCAATGCACTTCAAAGGATTGGACACCAAGTCTGATATTCAACCAAGGAAAACTAGCTTAAAGAGATACTTGAATAGTTCATTTAACATATACGATTCACCTGAAACTTTTGAGCAGCTTGCGGATCCCCATGGTTTTTATCTGGGTGTACTACCCTTGCCTAGCAGTAGAAACAATAAAACACAATTTAATGCACAAGAATGAAAACCATTGAATGCAGAGAAATCATTTTTTAAAATGAAGAAGAAATTAAATGGCATTTAGTTTTTACCTTGATGTAGTAAGCTTTCTTGATATCTGCAGGAGTGGCATCTATGCTGACCCCCAAGATATCATAGTATTCAGTGTCCTTTACCATGGCTTATAAGTGCTCAAAGTTCTACAAACAACAAACAGTAACTTTCAGAGCACTGTATATGAAATAAATCCAGAGTAGACATAGCTACCTCGGAATTTCATTATACTTTATCAAGCATTCAACGAGATGAAGAACAACAGAGGTTTCCGAATTCAATCCGTTTCGGATCGTAAACGAACAAAGTAGAATCAGATATTAAACGGAGTGGAATTGTTTAGATCTATCTAAAGATGTGAATATGGGGATAAAACTAAAAGCAAATATGATTCTCGGAGATGAAACGCTCACCGCTAAATTTCGACGCTTGAAGATTTTCAGGTGATTGACTTCATCAAAAGGAATTGGATTCTTGAACAGCTTAGATCTGAGATTTTGAGAAATTTCTGTACTCCGTACACAGGGATGATTTTCCTTCAATTTTTTAAGTCTTCTTCTCGTTAAGTTTTCTTTCAATTCAACGGTTGATTTAACTTATTTTCAATTTTTTTTGAAGAATTTATTTTTAATTTAATTTATTTGAAAGTAATGCAATATTAAAAATAAAAATTACTTTTTCTAGAATTAAAAACTTCATAAATACTTCTTAATAAAATAGGTGAGATTACTATTTTACTTTAATAAATGGCTAACAAAAATTTATGATGAAAATCATGTTCGACTTCCAAATAATAAAGAAAACTATTTTATTTAAATAAATGGCTAAAAAATTAAATGATGAAAATTTTTTTTGACTATCAAATAATAAAGAAACATTAATTTTGATAGAAGTCCAATTATTTTTATTTCTTATAGCATATATATATATATATATATATATATATATATATATATATATATATATATATATATATATATATTACAATATTTAACAAGATCAAAGCATAACTACTTGGATAGAAGTCCAATTATTTTTATTTCTAAATAAAATTTATAATATCAATAATCAAAATTAACTATTTAATCTAATATATCAATTCAATGATGAATAAATCTAGGGGTACATCAAAATGGGGTACTTCATTTGTATAATAGGCAAACAGAAATACTTAGTATCTGTGTTTGCCTGATATAACAAATGGGGTACTCTATTTTGGTGTTCTCCTAGCATGCCCCTTCATTGATACACTACATATTATCATCAAAAATTGTCATGAGATAAAGTTTTCGAGTGATGAATACCTTATCAATGGGGTTCCAAGTCCATTGAATAGAAGGACTCAAAATGAAGACTTCGATTAGGATCCGTGTCTCACCACGAGCCAAGCCCATAGCTAATGGGTCGTGTATGGAAAAATATGTTGAGCTCGACGAAAGCCCATGGTTCTACATAGATTGGGTGAGTGTGGTACTAAAAACTAGAGGTCGGCTTAATTACGTCCAGTGTGTAGGTCGGCCCAAGCCCATTAATGCTTATACTGGTGGGTTTGCTTGCACGCAAGCACGTCTCATTTATGAATTTATTTTCTCTCCTTAGATTCACTTTCTATCTCTGACTTTAGTTCACGTATTCGTTCATCTAATGACAAATATATCATGATTATACACCAAATAATATATCCCATTTGCACACTATTGACCTTAATTATTGTTTTTTTGCATTTTTAGTTTTTTTTCTTCTATTGCATTTGTGTGGTGATGGAGGTGGTACATTTGGGGTGCACTCTTTGGTATAACCCTAACATTTTTGTTATTATTTACTCTTATACAGTTCGTGTCAATGCTTTACTCTTATTTATATACGGAGCTCTTATTTATATATAGAGTATGTAATCCATTTGAAGATACTCTATGATGACCTTGTTTAACAAAGATTTCAGTGTTTAACTTTGACGTTTTTCAAAAAACAATTAAATTAAATGGAAAAATTTAACTTTTTTAAAAAATTTAATCTACATCAGTAAAGTTTATCTAAAATAATAATACTAATCAGAAGCAGATTTTTCGAAGTGCGCACACATAACAATGTTGGGAGTGAATGATGTAGTATTTTCTTCCGAGCCTCTGCCTCCATCTCAATATGGATACTGAATTTGATTTTTTCAGTCAAATAGTAAATTTCGACCAATAATTAAACAAGAGTTATATTAGTACATATTAGTATAAAAATTATTTAATTAGATTTAACTTGTAAATTGCTTTCAGAAATGTAATTTATTATATCAATATACAATGTCATATTTATTTAATTGGTAATGAAAATTAATCAAATTTGATTGCAGTTTAAAAAAAATCTACGTACAAATTAATTAGTTATTTCAAAAAAATATTATAATTTACAAGCACGAATGTGTAAAAATGGTAAGTTTTCTAATATAAATTAGAAAATAAATATGGTACGGTAAGTAAATGGTAACATTTAAATACCAAAATATATAAAAAACTACAAATTAATATTAATACAAGCATGGAAACGTTTTAAAATGATAAGTGTTCTAATTAGAAAATAAATACGGTATGGTACAGTATGCAAATGGCATCATTTAAAAATGAAAACAAAAAATGGTAAGTATTCTAAAATAAATTAGGTAAGTGTTCTAAAATAAAAGAGAGAGTAAATTACATCTAAAAATGATAAATGTTATAAAATAAATTAGAAAATAAATGTGGTTCAGTAAGTAATTAGTACCATTTAAATACGAAAATAAAATAAAAAATTTCAAAATTAATATTAATACTATAAATTACAAACATGAAAATGTTTTTAAAAAGGTAAGTGTTCTAATTAGAAAATTATAAAATAAATACGGTACTGTACGTCAGCACGATAAGCAAATGGTAACATTTTTATACAAAAAGAAAATAAAAGATAAGTTTTCTAAAATAATTTTGGTAAGTGTTCTAAATAAATTAGAAAATAAAATAAATATCAAAATGGTAAGTGCTTTAAAATATATTAGAAAATAAATACGGTATGGTAAGTAAATGATACGGAGTACAATTTAAATACAAAAATAAATTAGAAAAACACTAGATTAATACTATTAATTAATACTACAATATACAAGCATAGAAACGTGTAAAAATTGGTAGTAATTCCTGGTCTGCAATTGTTGTTCTGCCCATTCTTTTGTTTACCTTTCTTGCTGCCCTTGCCATAATGGCCCATAAGTAAAGTTTCTTCAGCTTCTATAACCTGCAGATCAAAATCAGCATCCATTTGATGCCCACATAATTCATCAACCTCCTCCTCTACACATTGTTGGTCCTTACCATATATTAACAGAGGCACATCAATGAGACTGATTGGCTTTGAGCGGTCAACATACATATCTGAGTCAATGAGGCTTAAGGGTTGATTAACATTTTCTGAATCTACCTCCTTATGCACTGACATGGCCTTCAGTTCATTTATAGATTTTGTCTGGGGACCTCCCATATTCTTTCTAATGGGTAAGACTTTAAAATGAGGATTTGGTTGTTGATGTTGCAGAATTGGAAGTAATGACTGGAAAGGTTTTGCCTGAGCATTAAGAACACCCTTAGGTGGAGTATATATATATATATATATATATATATATATATATATAAAATTTTTTTAGTGTATACCTAGATTTAGTATATATTTTACAAAACGCTAGAAATTACAACTGGTCTGCGCTGAGGAGTGGAAAGCTGCTCCCTGTTGACCATTTGGTCGGTGATCATGGGTTTGAAACCAGGTGAAGGACGGGAATACATGCTTTTTGCACGGTGAAGGAGGATGGACATATCTAATGCGGTGTCATTTTTTGGAGGAGTCGTGTCCTTTTTTATCCAGGAAGTGTCTTTGTGGCAGCGGCAAATGGAGGAAAATTTGGGCCTCTAGATCCTCTTTTGGCGGAAGCTCTTGCTTGCAAGGAAACATTATCTTGGTTACGGACTCGAGGTATTCGTGACGTTGAGATTCTTTCTGATTGTGAGGTCTTAGTGGGGGCTATCAAGCAAGGAAGGGCCTTTGATTGCTACTCTTATCTAGGCCCCATCCTCGATGACTGTGTTGATATATTATCTTCGTTTATATCTATTGACTTTCATTTTATTCGTAGGAATCATAATTGTATTGCTCATACTCTTGCACGCTGTGCTACGCCCCATTTTTTCTCATGGAGCTGTACACCACCCAGTTGTATTGCACATTTGATTTCTTCTGAATGAAGTTTTGTTTTCTGTCAAAAAAAAATAAATTGATATGTAATGGAATATAGATATATTAAGTAAATTCCATCTCCACTTATAGATCGTTTTACATATTTAGTCCTACGTATCAAATCTATCCAAATTCAAATACAAATATATACACAGATAGAAGGCAAATCGAATTAGTTGAACAGTGCTCCGAAAACGTGGAGAAAGCTAAACAGCTCCATCTCTAGGGTTTCTGTAAACGCTCAAACATCATTCACCCTCTTAGATGCGGTGCTTCAACATAAACGCGTGCCGGCGCTCTAATCTTGGGCCGGAGTCCATTGTGTGGTTCTTTCTGACCGTGAGTTCTATCAGTCTATTGGCCAATTCTCTTCCACGACCGCACAATGACATCAAAGATTGGTCACATCACAGCAATATGTGGATTGGGGGTAGTGCTTGCGGTTTCAAGTTTCAATTGGGTGCATCCTTTTAATTGGAAGATGGGAGGAGCACCAGACGCAGATTCAAAAGCTCTGATTTTATATCTATGGGAACGAGAAGGTGTGTAATTTCATTTACCCGTTTTTTCCTTCAAATTTCTTTAGGTACGAAGTATATTTGTGGGGTGGGATAGTTTTGAAACCTAGCTTCTGTAATTACAGTCTCATAGTGTGCAGTCACAATGTTGAAGCCAATTAAATGGATTCCGATGGGCATTTCAAATGATAGCCACCACGCACATCCTAGACAAACAAAACCTTCCAAAGGGGTAACAACTCTTCTAATTTCTCTATTATTAATTTAATTTCTTTTCAACAAAAATTAAAAGTCATGATGCAGTGGATGAGAATATCTTAGAAATACTGCACAGTCTAGATTCAGTTATTGTTTTTTTAATTGTTAATTTTTTATTCAATGAAATGTTTGGTTGGCCTTTTTCTACTATGTACAATGAAAATCATACTCCAAATATGAAGTACAATCAATGTGACTCCAAGTCTCCTAGAGACCTAGGACTAATGGATAGATGAATGAGAGAGTATATGAAGTTAGTGGAACTGGATTAACAGAGACAGAAAATTAAAGGAAGTAACGGAGAGTGAAGCATATTACCTAGAAGCATTTGATGCAAGTTTATTCAGATTTTAGAATTAGCTTTTTATATCCTGTGGATGTTCTAAGTTTTTTATCCTGTGGATGTTTTAAAAAAATATATTTTGATCTCTGCATTAAACTACTACAAACGGCTAGCCTATTTTTAAAATGATCAAATATTTAAATCAAATAAATTAAAAAAGGAGTAATTTTGTACTCAAATAAAAA